CGGTTCCCCCCCGCCAGCCCTGCTTCCCATCGGCCGGTTCCTTCCCCCGATCTCCCCAGCCAGCCCTGCTCCTCCAGACCCCCTCCCAGCCAGCCCTGCTTCCTGCCAGTGGATTCCCCTCCTCCCCCTGATCAGCCTCACTCCCCTCCTGGCCAGTCCTCCCCCCTTCCCGTTTTGAGATCATGTGTATCTGGTATTTTTTTGAAACCCATCTGGTAACCCTACCTCCAGCAAAATCAGCTAAAAAACTTGATAATCCTCTCCCTGCTTATTCTGCAAGAGTAAAGAACCCTTAAGCATTGTATTTCCTGATGTGGCATTGTACATAATTTTGTTTAGAAGTGTATTTTTGGTAGCAATGCGTCTCTAAAGTTAAAAACTAATATTCAGACTAAAGAACTATTAGATGTGTCATCATTAACAAGATATTAATTGGGTAACTTGATGAGACTGAAAAGTAAGTTGGTCAGAAGCAGGCCCACTGATGGGGGGCAAAAGGGGCAACTGTCCCAGGACCCAGCAATTCAAAAGGGCCCTGGGCTCTCAGCTGCCGTGGCTGCTACTGTGTCACCATTGGCACTCAGAGCCATGTGTCCTTTAAATTACCACTGGAGTGCCATGCTACGTGCTCCAGGCAGCTCTAAGGACTGGGGGGAGGACTGTGTGGCATGCTGTGGGTGGTGCCAAGGGCTACTGCCCCTGCCCCTTCTATCTGAAGCCGCACCCTTCTGGGAGTACAGAGCTGCCCCACCTCCAACCTTGCCAAGAAGCCTGGTGTGGCTGTCAGCTGGTCAGAAGTATAGCTGTGAACCCTCCAAGATTTAAATGCAATGGCAAATATGCAAAGGTCCCAGTCCTGCCAGGTCTTGAGTACTTCCTTCCAGAGCGGAGCACTCCCGCTTCCAATCAAGTGTCTATTTTGTAAGATACACTTCCTGCACAAGGTGGCTCCTCAGCTGGTTGCTTTTAAGCAGCCATAATGTGGCCAAGAATCCTACATCTGTATGCTCTGTTCTTTGTGAAATATTTGTTTATTCTGTAGCATTACAAGAGTTTGATAGATTCACAGAGTTTAAGACCGGAGGGGACTATTGGATCACAGTTTGACTTCCAGTATAACACAGACCATCACATTTTACTCAGTTGTGCCTCTTTTGAGCCCGATACATTGTGTTTGGCTCAAGCATTTCTTAATCTAGAGAGACATCTAGTCTTGATTCAAAGACATCAAAACTTAGAGAATCTACCACTTACCTTGGGAGTTTGTTTAATGGTTTGTCAGCCTCACTGGTAAAAAAATTGTGCCTTATTTCTAATTTGAATTTGTCTGGCTTTAGCTTCTAGTCACTAGTCCATGTAATACCTTTCTCACTGAGATTAAAGAGCTCTTTAATACCTGGTATTTGCTCCCTGTGATGTTATTTATACACTATAACAGGCCTGGCCATAATACAGCCTGCGGGCCAGATCAGGTCCACCAGGGCACTGGATCCCAGACAGGCTCCCTGCTTGCCCCGCAGGCCACTCAGAAAGGCAGCTGCCGGGCCATTTCTCTTTCAAAATTGTGATCCCAGAGGGAATGGGGGGGAGGCTTCAGGCAGTGACCCTGCCCCCAGCACAATCCCATTGGCTGGTTTCTAGCCAGACACTGGTCAATGGGAGCTACTTGTTTGAATAATGGGCAGCACACAAAGCACCATGCCCCCCTCCCCTCCAGCTCAGTTATTCACACAAGCACATGGCCCTGCAGCCTGTGCAGGCTTGGGGCAGGCAGGCAGGCAGGCTGAGAAACCTTTTAAGCTCTGCAAGCATTTACCTCTGCAGGCAGGCTGGTTGGGATGCTGGCTGGTAAGTCTCCTGAACAAAGCCTGCCGCTGGCACCCCAGCCCTCCCTTCCCCAACCCTTTCCCCCACACTCAACATACACTAACTCCCTGTCCCCCTCCTGAACCCATACCCCCTCCCATATCGGGTATCCCAATCCCCTGCTCCAGATTACAATTCCCTCCTGCCCTAGGTCACAACCCAAACTCTTACACCCAGTCCCCTCCCCTAGTCACAAACCAGACCCCTGCACCCCAGTCTCCTGCCCTAGGTCACAACAGCCTCCTTGACCCAAACTCCCTCCCAGACTCCACTCTCCCTCCTGCACCCCAGTCCCTTACCCTAAGCTCTTTTCTGCAGCCAACCTCCATCCCAGACCCTGCACCTCCTCCATTAATATCATGGAAGTGTGCAGCCCTTGACCACTTTCCAAAATCTTGGAATGTCCCCCCATCAAAAATTATTGCCCACACCTGTACTATAATCAATTCTCATCTCAGTCTTTTTGATAAACGAAAGAGATTGACTTTTCTAAGTCTCTCACAGTAAGACAGTTTTTCCAGATCTAGACTAATTTTTGTGTTTAATGTCTGAAACCTCTCTGATTCATTTCCCTCCTCCTCCTCCACTTTTTATATATACAAGGATTGTTTTAGCTATTTTTGTGATAGCATCACATGGGGAGTTCATGTTGTTGCTATTATTTTATAAATATTATTGTAGCAGAGTTGTTTATCTACTTTGACCCCTAGATCATTTAGGGTATGTCTACATTGTATTCCTCTTTCTAGAGAGGAATGCAAATGCAGCCGAGCGAAATTGCAAATGAAGCGCGGATTTGAGTTTCCCACGCTTCATTTGCATAATGGCGTCCAGGCACTTTTTCAAAATACCCTATTTTGAAAAAAAAACCACCGTCTAAGCAGGGTTATTTCGAAAAAACCCTTTTCTTTCGAAATAACCCTTACTCCTTAAAAAATGAGGTTTAAGGGTTATTTCGAAAGAAGGGGTTTTTCTTCAAAATAACCCCATCTAGTCGGCAATTTTCTTTTGAAATAGGGTATTTTGAAAAAGCACCCGGACACCATTATGCAAATGAAGCACGGGAAATTCAAATCCGAAGTTCATTTGCAATTTCGCTCACTGAATTTGAATTCCTCTCTCAAAGAAGAATGTAGTGTAGACATACCCATAGTGAAGTTGCACTGTAAAATAAAGTATAGATTGAATCTCTCTAATCCAGCACTCTCTGATCCAGCAACATCCATAGTCCAGCGTGATTTTAGTTAGCCGAATGTCCGCTTATCATGGGTATGACCAAGTTTCCCATGGTTGCATGAAGTTTGTTTACAGCCACCAGTCTTGGCTCTCAATGTTCTGTGCGGTTATTAAACTCTAATTTGTCCCTAAATGTCTTCTAAGAGTTCAGTAGGCAGTGGAAGTGTTGGTAATGCTGCTAGATAATATTAACCTCCCATGGTTTGGAAAATTCTCTGGTTTGGTACCAGTCAGGTTCCAGAAGTGCCAGACTAAAGAGGTTCATCCTGTATAAAAGTTAAGACTGAAATTCTTGACTTTAAACATCAAAAAATATTTCTAACATTGCTCTTTTCCATGATACAGCCCCCCTCTCCACCCTATTCTTTAGGTATGGCCTATATTCCTTGTTCCTACGTGTAACTTTGCAGCATTTGACTGAATTAAAATGCATTCTATTTGACTGGGAGCAGTTTACCAAGCAATTCCAGATCATATTGTATAGACTGCCTTGTCCTCATCATTATTTATCATTGCACTAACTTTTGTGTTATCCTCATATTTTAGCAGCGGTGATTTTATATTTATTTCCAGTTAATTGAAGAAATGGGTGAAGGGATCACAGTTAGGGTTGCCAGATGTCCGGACAGTCCAGTATTTGAGCTTTCTGTTCAGGAAACAATTGAAAAATATAAATGAGAAAATATAAATGTCCGGTATTTTCTAAATAAGATGTAATGTAGATTGTGATGTAATGTCAAGCATGTCCGGTATTTTTGTTGAAATCATCTGGCAACCCTAATCACAATATGGAACTGACTGCTCAGAGGGAAGTTTTCATACAATAACAGTTCTTGTAAGAGGGAATGGTATGCTATTGTGGGGTTTTTTTCTTTTAAACATCTAAAACTGTGTCAGTAAACCTGCTTAGCTTGTCCCATATTGCTTTGACTACAGCCCTTTGCCAAAAATAGATGTGGGTCTGTCTTAGCCTTTGGCTTGGCAAACAGCTATGTTTTTGTAGGAGAGGCCTTCTTCCTGGATGAAAATTGCATGTGTTGTGCCTTCTCTCCTGCTTCCTGTGAGCACTATGCCATGCAAATCCTACCCCAAAGCACTCTCAAAGGAATTAGTGTTGGACAAGGAACCTTATGATCTGTCATGCTTAGTTTCTAATTAGTCCAAAGCATCGAAGCTGATATAATTATTATGTAGGCCACACCTTCTCATGAAGAGAGAGGAATAATTTATAGTAATCATTAGGAGCTGCTTGGTTCTGAAAACAGAACTCTTTTTCTCTTTATTCATAGCCCAGACAATTGCATTGCATTTAGGGCTAGTTTCTGCTGTTATAATTCAGGCAAAATACATGTTGATTTCAACGTTGTGTAGTACACTCTATCACCTTGATTATCAGAATGTCAGCCAATGAATAATTTCAACTACCTGATGTTTAGATAATTGAGGGAATTTTTAGATATAATTATTAAACTTTGGGAGACAGGAACACATTTTGGAGAAGAGGCAGTTTTAGTTAAGTTTTAGAAAATCAAGGTTATACTGTATGCACAACTCTTTAACTCAGTCTAATAAGGCTTAGAACTGAAGCTTTATTAAAATTCAAAGGATTGTTTGAAAATTATTTTTCCTGTCTTACAGGATGACTCTTAACTGTCCTTAACCACTAATCATTTGATCATTTATTTTCCAGAAAGCCATGTTGACAGAAGTCTCTTGCTCATGCATGCAAAGCGGAAGAAGAGGGGATAAGAGCCATGTCTTATCACCTAAAACTACCCAGACACTGGAAACTTCCCATGACAAGTCATTGCTTATAATGACAGAGGAAATATTTTAATGTTAATAGCATCGTGATATGGTGATTATTCTGTTTTTTGTTGTTTTCTTCCCCAAAATGATTCTGAAGTGTTTCAGTAGGGATTATAAAGTATATGGAAAACAACTTTTTGAGACTATTCTGCCATCATCTCTTTTCAGGATTTTATCCTCTTTTTATTATATTGAGGTGTTTCCTAAGGGCTGGTCTACACACAGACTTTCACAGAAATATCTAATTCAGTTGTAACTGAGACCTCTTGTTATTACGGTGCCACCCTATGCGTGGACATTCTTATTTTGGTATGAGGAATACCTACACTGATTTTGTGTACATTGGTGTTTTACTGACTTCAGTTGAATTAAAGTAGGTCATTTTAATTCTGAAATACATAGACTGCAACCAAAGCAACAAATTTTGTCAAATACAACTTATTGAGGCTATTCCCATGCTACCATTTATTTTGGTATAACTTCTATGGGGGGTGGAGGAACATGGAGTAGTCAAGCTAATGGGCAAGCTCTCTCCCATCACGTTAGAGAGACTGCACTAGAGACCTTACACCCAGCACAAATGTTTGGGTGCAGCTGCATCACTATAAGTTCTCTAATGTAGCCATATCCTGAGGCCATGTCTACACACAGTGCTGCAGTGGAGCAGCTGCACCAGTACAGTTGCACAACTGCAGCATGTCTGGAGAAGACATTTTATGCTGACGAGTGAGAGCTCTCCCATTTGCATTTAAAAAAATAAACCTTTGCAAGAGGTATGTCGAGAGGAGAAGCCCTCCCACTTACTTAGTCTGTCCACACTGGCTCTTATATCAATGTAACTGATATCACTCAGTGGGTTGGGGTGTGGGGCAAGAAGGGATTTTCCCACTCCTGAGAGACGAACTTATGTCAACCTAGCCTGAGTTATTTTGGTGTGAATTTATATGAGAACAAGGCTTACATTTTCTCCAGCTGTATTAGAATATTTGGCCTAACTGCACTATAAAATAACTTCTAGATAAACTGTGTTTTCTTTTACTTGTTTTATAGAACAAAATTTTCCTTCCAAGAGCAGACTTTTCATTTTGTTTTCAAATTTGTGAATTCATGGGTAAAGACTCATATCACCAGCATGACCCAGGAAGGTGTTATGCAAATTTCCACACAGAGACAATGCAGGAGGCATTTCCTGATGCAGTAAGAAAAGGCAGAGAAGACAAAGCATCTCAACAATCTAGGACGTAACTATGCTGGAGCAAGTGAACATCCAGTCAACAGGAAAAAAAAATCTACTAAACCTCAGTGGCCATTAATGATTGTTAAATACTGGATAGACTTGTTTGGAAAGGATGAGGAGCAGTGAGCTGGCACTAAAGCATAACTCATTGGTGCCCAGCCCATGCACAACAAGCTTTGCCAAGCCCTTAGCAATCTGAAATGAAGTCATCTCTGTCGTTATTTCCTGATAGCTGCTTGGAACTTAGAAATCCAGAGAAGGGAGAGCGCTGATAATGAAGTTCCATGGCAAAGCTTTTTGGGCTGCAACATAACAATATCTTTAAGCTCTTATACAAAGGCACTCAGGAGTCCAGCCCAACATTCTCAGACAGCAGATTATTTTCAGGAGGAGGACAGCTGGGTTAATGACGGTTCATGTATGAAATGTGCTTAGATCATAGTCTATGGATCAGACACAATACAGTACATCCACTTCCACACCACATTCACCTGCCTCAGGTCAAACCCAAGGAAAGAAATGGCCATTTCAGTTTTGCCTAAAAGGCAATGCATTTGGCCTTTGTTAGACCAGGAGGGAAAACAAATTCCAGGATGAGGCCTCATCATTGACACCTCTACTTTCCAGCTACTTAGACATTCAAACGTAGGGACTGCATCCAAGAGCCCTACAACTGACCTTGACAGTAATGCCAAGAGAGAGTTACTCAGATAAGTGGGCAAGCCACATATCACAAGACATGGATTTCTATTGTTAGCAAATAACTGCTGCCTGATGAAGCAATCATTCTTGCTAACTTTTCTGTATTAAGCTGCATTATTTTCCCAAGGAATCCTACTGGTGTGCAGCAAATTCGGGTTTTCCCTACCTCCTGTGTTTCCACACACCAACCCCTCATTTGTGCTTTTTGGTGACACTTGCTGGGGAGTATTTTACTGCTGCGAGTTGGTATGACATCATACCAAGAAGGAGGTTTGCTTATGGGTTGGAGGAAAGGTAAGTAGTATGTTGCTACAGTTTTTAATGTCCTAGAAATGGGAGCATGTGCCCCAAATTCCTGGCTTACAATAGCCATTCTATTCCAATACTGGCCATTTTCTGAACAGACATAGCCAGCTGTGCCTAACACGATGGTCATTTCCCATTAACAAATGGGGAGTAGTAGGATAAGATCATCACGTATATTTTCAAAGGTGAAAGGTCAGTATAATTATACCACATACCCGTTTGCATGTATTTGATTTCATTCCGTTTCCTGATACTACAAAGTTTCCTTAAGCCTTTCTGGTCAGTTTGACTAAAGTTTTCAAAATGTGTGAGTGACTTAGGAATCTCAGTTCTGCTGACTTTCAATGATTTCTTCTTTGTTTAGTTAGTTTTTATTGTTGATCATTATCGCTGTAAGTGAATGTTCTTTTTCAGATTTTTTTTTAAATGTATGAAAATTGCACATATGCTGTGTCTTATACCTTCCTTTCACTCTCCCAGTTAAACTAATTGATGACTAACTCACTATGGGGTGGCTTCTGACTCCTTTTCATATATTGAGTATCACCTTACTCCATAGTCCCATTGATTTCAGTAGAGTAAGGTACTATTCAACATGAATAAAGAAGTCAGACTCTGACCTTGAGTCATGGGAGTATTCTGAGAGTTCTCATTTACTTCTTCTCCTTTTGTTTCTGTTAAAAGCCCCTGGCAAACAAAATAATCTCTAATCTGTTTCAAGAGTAGCCTGGATGATTACTGCATCCTAGTTAATATTTCATGATATTTGTGACCTTTGAGTTGTTTTTGTCAGCCTCTTTTTCCAGTACTATTCAATAGCTAAGAAAGCTCTCAGAGAGCTTTCCATTTATACACTGAACCTAGTTTGTCCACCTTGTCTGTACTATACTCCTGTTGTCTAGAAAGAGTTTAATCTTTTGCCTTTTAAACTAGCGAGTTTGAATGGGTTCTGAAAAATCCAGGGCTACGTCTAGATTGCATCCCTTTTTCGTAAAAGGGATGCAAATTAGACGTATTGCAATTGCTAATGAAATGGGGATTTAAATCTCCCCCGCTTCATTAGCATAAAAATGGCTGCCACTTTTTTTTTGGCACGGAGCTTTGCCGGAAAAAAGCGCCGTTCTAGACGCGGATCTTTAGGAAAATAAAGCCTTTTCTGAAAGATCCCTTATCCCTTATTTTAAGAGGATCC